GTAAGTTTTGTCATTTTAACATTTTTCAAAAATTTGTGTGCAATTATTCTAACTTAATATATGCTATAGGGTAATTCCATATATGAGGAGAATTGTAATTCCAGTCACCCACCAGATTTTCTTTAAATTTTAACAAGTGATACCTATTAATGAAACATGAAAAAATGCAAAATTTGAGCTCCCATATCCCAAAGTTATGACATTTTGAAGTTGCGTAAAGTGCCTTTTTTTTAAACCAAGTTATGGTTTTGTACTTTTGAATTAATAACTCAAGGTCTAGTGAAAGAATGTGTCTAAAAATTGGTCCCTACCATTTTTGAAGGTATAGAAAAAATAATGCAATTTTACTTTTTTGATGGTTATTTTTCAATTTTAAAATAGTCAATTCAATTAAAATAAAAATAATTCAATTTTAAAATAGTCAATAAGTTTTCTGTTCTGTTAAAATGGGTTATTTTCTGAGTTGCCTAAGAAAATAAAATAAAATAGGTTTTGTGACTATTTTTGAAGTAACTAAAAAAATAAAGAGAAAATAACCCAATTCTAAATAATTGATAATAATTTTTTAATTTTACCAAAATATTGTGCAAATATTTTCATTGGTTGCATTCTAAAATGTTGTGTTAAAAAAATGATAAACTAAAATGCAAATTTTGTTGAAAAAATGTAAAATATCTGGTTTATTGAAAAAAAGAAACTCTTGAAAAAAGGAAAAATGAAAAGAAATAAGCAAATATACAAAAATTGAAATATAAATATAAATTCACTGACTAGATAAAAGCTGTTCAAATGGAGTTTGATCTTCTTTTGAGATGTGGTACTGATGTTCTGAATATATAGACAATGTTTTAACAAGAAAAACAACATTTATTCTTGATAACCAAAACATATCATCCCAGATTGGCCTGTAGTTGGATTAATTTGGATATTATGGATGCATGAACTTTACCATAAAATTAACATTCTTTTTATCAACTTCAGAAACTATACCAAGGTAGCAAAATTTATCCTATTTGCAAAATAGGGATTTTGGTATAGGTAACATGGCCACATTCCGACTGTTTTTTTTTAATAACTTGCTAAATACTAGAACTTTAAACTTGCAGATTTTATTCAAGAATTAATTAAGATACATATTATATGCGAAAATCAACCATGTAGCTTCAAAGCTTTAACCACAACTTATTAATAAAAATATTTATGAAAAATCTAAATATAAGGGTGATTTGGTCACGCAACAAAAAGTCTTATTTAAACAACAAAAACTAGATAAAATAAAAAACATAATAAAACAAGAGTTATAAATTTGTAGATTTTATTCAAGAATTTCTCATACAAGATGCACATTATATGATAAAATCAGCAATCTAGCTTTAAAACTTTAATCAAAGTTTAATAAGGAAAATCATTTTTAAAGATCCAAAAATGGTGTATTTTGGCTGTTTAACAAAAAAAAAACTAATTTAAACAACAAAACATTACAATACATGTTTATGAAATGGAAGTATGTTTCAAATTGCAAAACTAGATTATTAAAATAAAAAACAAATACAAATACAATAAAATACAAAAATTCCTAACAAATTGCAAAGGAAGTCTGCTTTAATGCAAATTCTGCCTGTCTTAACATCACAAACTTGGATCAACTTCAAGTTTCTCAACAGAGGAAGAGTGCAGTAGGACCTAAAATAATATGAGCAAAAAGTATGAGCAACTGTGATCCTCTTTTTTCATATTCTTTTAGGTCCTACTGCACTCTTCCTCTGTTCTTTCAAAAGTTTTATTAACTCTTGACTGACATACTCGCACAATATATCCTCCTTTAAGAAGATCTTTCCTTACCTTTGTGATGACATTTTTTCTGTTAGGTGGAACAATGCCACAAGTTCTGAAACCTTCTTTTAAGAGATCAGTGTAATTGTTTATTTTTATTATTAGTGAAGCTAACAGTTTGGAAAAAGCCCAATTAAAAAAAAAGTCTCTTAACATACTTACCCTTATTTTTTTTCCATTTGGTCAGTATTACATATCAATACCTTTTCATGGAGCCATACAGGGATATTGTTGGTGAAGGTTGGAACAATTCTCTTTTATTTTGTTAAGGATATTTTGATGAAGTGTCTGAACTCAGCCAGATCCCAAGCATATCCAAAATTGGTAAGTGTAACTACATTTTGAGCAATGACAAGCTCTTCATCGGCAGGAGTGGCAGTTCCACCAGGTTTCTACATATTTTTGGTCTTGCTACATAGATAATTTCTAAGAGTTAATCTGGCAACTTTGTAGGTCTCAGAGGCCCTTTTAATGGGCGTATCAGCAGCTATGGCCTTCATAGTCTTGTCTACCTGCTCTATGAGGTAGTTTCTTTATGCCTAACCTTCCTTTGGTTTGTAAGTTGATTGCATACTTCTACTAAAAAAAAGGGGGAAAAATTAGCCATTTATTTACCAAATTAAAAATTGTCCATATTACCCCAATTTTTAAAAGGGGTTATTTACCCAATTTACCTAAATATAAATGCTTTGAGCTTTAAAATGCATTTTTGTCAATTTGCCCCTCAAATATTTGCTTGGCAATAGTCAGCGTTTTTTAAAATTTGAAAAGACAAAAAATAATGAAAAAGCATTTAACAATGAAAGTATTGTTATTTTAGTTTTTTTGCCTTTCAACCCCATCAGGGTATGCTGTGATGCCTTTTTGATTGTGTAAAAACTTTTCATTTTGAATTTTACATTTGGAAATTGAAAACTTTTTTGCTACTTCTGTTGTAGATCAATATTTTGGAGTTTAAATTTGCTGTCTTCTGTTAGAAACATATTTTTCTTTCGAGGGTTTAACAAAAAAGTCAAGATTACCATCTTTGATTTGAATCTCCTTTAGAATTTCATTGTTGTTTGGTAATTTTTTATTTTTTTTTCAAAGTAAAAGTTTGTTAGAAGTTTTGGGTAAATTAACTTTTTAAGGAGACACGTCAAGTTCACATAACTTACTGTTCAACAACAATCTTGTTGATTCCAGCATAATTTTTTTTTCCATACCATTTTCAATTAATTTTACCTTGTTTTTTTTTCTGATTCTTTATGTGATGCTTATTTATGTTTGCATTGTAAGAAAAGCTTTTCACAAGATACTACAAATTTTTGCATAGGGATTTTGCTGTATAGGGATTTCATTATTGTAATTCTCAACACTTTCGTAAATTTTAAAAAGTAAAAGTTAACACTACTATAAATACTTTTTTTTTACTAATCCCCTTTAATACCCTTTGTTATGGGTATTAAATGGATTGCAGCACTATCTTAATTTAATTGCTGACAACTTATTGGTTTGACATTGATTATTGATAGTCTAGTCCTTTATATTATTTATCTTTCATATTCAGGAATATCTTTAAAAGGATCAATTCCAAGCAACTGTGTATATTTTGTAAGATGACATTCACTTTCTAGCTTGATTCCAAGAGGGCGCTGTTGACTGTTTATCATGACTGAGAACAGTGCCAGATAGAGCAGATGCAGGGGCCCAACGCGAGTTTAGTTTGTGGGGTCCTCAAACAAAAATCTAAATAAAAGGTGAAGAATACTAATGTACTAGGTTAAAGTCATGTTTAAATATAGTCAATTTCACTAGATTCTAGTAAATAAAAAAAATATTTTTTAATATTTTTGTCAAAATTGTATAGAAGGTAAAGAGTGAATTTAACTGAATTTCATTAAAAATAAATCTACATAGACAATAATGATGTTCTACATGTTTCTAAGTTTTTTCTCAGAAAAATTCTGCAAAGTAGTTTCTAGTGTTTGTCTAGCTGTATCTAAAAATAACGTGAAAAAAACATTTCCATTACAAAGGCTTTTCATTGCCTTTGTAATGGAAATGTTTTTCTTTTTCTTAAGCTGTTTATTTTGAAATTCTGGATATGTTTTTACCTTAATTATATGTGCTCAAATCCAGTGTTTCTGTATTGGATCAACCAACTTAATAGTTTTTCAAATAAGCAAAGAGCTATTGATAGGTCTACTGATTTACTTAGAAGTTCTTTACTTACTTCATGTTTATTTGGAAGAGTAAGTCATACCAAAAAAACAGAGTCACTAAAAACTTATAATATCATATTAGGTTCTAAATTGATTCAGCTTCGCTTTTGATTGGTGGATTTTTGGAGGTTTCCGATACTTTGTAAAATTTACCTATTTCAAATCTTACTGCTTTAACACTTTGAATCTGATATTCCCACCTCGTAAGTTTTTTCGCATATTTGAAAAACCCTAATCACCTTTTTGTAGATGCCAAAAACAAAACATACAGGCATTGAAGAATGCCAAAAAATATTTGAGCTTCTCGGCAAATTTTGGCTATATGTCCCAATAGGTGATAATTATAATTATGACATGGAGTAAAAAATGCTCTTGAATTTTTCTTTTGCAATCTGGCGTCCGTAAAAATTTTCCTTGTTAGTATCATTGTTATAATCTTGCTCTCAGATGTCATTAATGTTCAGTCCTAAAAATTTAATTTCTTGCTTCAACAAAGAAAATGGGTTTTCTCCTGTACTGCTCTCTACACGTATAAATTTAATAAACTGTTCATATATACTGGCATTTGAACTTCGTAATGTACCATCTAAATCGTATCTGAGGCTTAAAGATATTTGTTCTTTATGACTGATGTCTGGAGTACAGTCAAGATTCACACCAAAATATTTTCCGTGTTTTACTCACTCCATAATTTTATTTTGAATTTTACTGCCTATCACATTTATAATTTCATTTTGGATTGTTTTTTTAAGACAATGTTCATTAGTTGTTTTACTGGCAATTTCGCTGTAGATGGCCCTGCATTATTGAATCAAAGTTTCCTAGCAATTCAATAATACCTATAAAATTTCTATTTCATCTATGCATCATCTAGTTTTTCAACAGGATTTTCTTTTTTTTCAACATCTTCATTTCCAACAAGGCTGCAAGCAACCACTAATAGAGTTGGAAGTTGCAATTCAA